TTGCCCTATATGTATTGGTTGCGGTGAGAGTGAGAGATGGAGGGGACGTTATGAGGGATATCAGGTTATAGACTAAATTTAAGGGATCGTTTTTTTTATCATGGTTTTATATATAAAAATTAAATATAGATTCACAACGTAATTTTTAAGACCTAAAAAAAGTGATAATATTTATCTAAAGGAGTATATTTAGGTAAAAATTTCTTTATTTTTTGATAATTATTTTGGACCTATATATCATATGTCTCTATTTAATTTGTCACTTTTTCACGTCATACGCAAATGTTCAATAGATAGTTTTTGAGTAGTTTAAGTAGGCGTTTGGACATAAAAATTATAATTTTTGAAAAAAAATATACTATTTGGAGTTAAGTCGAAAAATGGTATTTGAAAATGTTTTTGGACACGCATTTCATTTGAAAAAATGTTGCAGTTTTGTGGTCAAAATCACTTTTCGTTTTTGAGAAACTCACTTTCGAAATTTTTTCGAAAAATTGTAAAATTTTATGGACAAACACATTTTTGAATTTTTTTTTTGAAAGAAGGGAAACTTTTTTTTTTTTTAATGAACAAATGGGGCCTAGATATTCAATCGAAAGTTAATAGCTTGTTTGGATGATTGTTACCTATTGTATTGTATTGTATTGTTACTTTAAACATAATGTTTGTTTTGACTGTTATTTAAATTTTATTGCATCGTATCATTAAATCCCTCGTTACGTATGTTTACCTTGAAAATGGTAATTGCAATTAAATTTGATTGTGTGGTTCTAAAAATACGTGATCTATTTTTATGCTAGTTGTTTAGGCAATAGATGCTAAGTAAGATATTAGGAATGAGATAAGAGCTTGTAGATAGTATAATGACCAAACCAGAGGGCTGGAAATCGGGGCCTCGAGCTGGCGTATACAGGCCTCGAGGTCGAGTCGGATGCTCGGCTAGGAGCAATCGAGGGGGGATTAACAGTTATGATAGCTTTGATAGAAGCCTTTTATGATCAGTAAAGAGCGATAAATGAAGAACAATTAATAGAACACAATGAATATAAGCGATAAATGTAAGTAATGAGATCAAGAGAATAAATTATTTGTTGATCAGATTTAACTCCAGCAAAAATTAAATTATTTAATTTCATGGAACGATAGGAATATGTGCCATTAGAAAATAATTATAACAGGCCGACAAAATAGATTATTGCAAATGACTAAGTATTAGAAACTACTTACTCAGTGTATANGGCCTTTTCTTTTGCATTGCATTCATTTTTGTAATGGCCAGTCTTACCACAGTTTGTGCAGATCTTATTTTCAGGAAGTGTGAGGTACTTGTTTTTGGGATCCCATTTTGGAGCTTGTGTCCCAAACCCAAGTCCTCTCTTGTTGCTGCTGTGATGTTCTTGCAGCCAGGAGAGTGCATCAGAAGTCTTGTTCCATTTGCATGTTCTGTCTAGTTCATGCTTTACCTTTCCTAAATCTTCCTTTAGGGCCTTAATCAATTCATCTTTCTTATATAGTTCATCTTTCATTTTTCCTAGATTTTCTTCTACTGTGAGAAATGATTGATCAACCATTTTCTTTCCTGTCCCTAATTTCAGTTTAATATTTTCATATTTGAGTTCTAGGACATTATTTCCATGTTCATGAACCTGGTTCTTCAACTCAGCATTTGTGTTGTCACTCTTATCAGCCCTAGACTCTATCCTTTTGCATTTTGCTTCTAGGATAACACATTCCCTAGACAGAACATCCTTCTCACTGTTTATTATTTCGGTTTATATACAATAAACTGTCACTATACAAAATATATACAAAATAGACTATCACTATACAAAATAGACTGTTACTATACAAAAAATATACAAAATAGACTGTCACTATGCAAAAAATATACAAAAATAGACTGTTATTATACAAAAATATACAAAACAGACATTTCGTATATGACCTGCATTACATATTTCATTCAATTCTTAGCTAATACTTACCAGATTCAGAAGTACAAAATACAATTTAAAAAGGCAAAAAATGGCTGATCTATCGCACCAAGGAGGGTCGAACCTACGACCTTCAGCTTGGAAATAGATGCTCTATCCACTGAGCTACAGGCGCTTGTGTAGTAATGCTCATTCCTTTCGGCTAGTATATGCAATATGTTTGGGCCAAAGGGCCATTTTCCGTAAGTGGGTCAAAATATGGGCTATTAAAATTTTGAGGGGCTATAGAGGGTAGTTTTCTCTGAAATTTTCCCGATTACAAATAGGGTAAAAGATAGTATTTGCTACAAGTATTAGATTCGTAATTTACGGCACTAAATTTTGTTAAAATATCATGGTATAGCCAGTTTTCACACTGGTCAATGAAAAATAGCCAGCGTTTATCAAGTCAACGAAAAATAGCCACTATTTTGCTGCAACAGGGACCGGTCCAGTATAATATACGGGAGTTCTGGTGCATTTGTGTATGAACTCCAACATATTATGCTGGACCGGTATACTTTGCTAACTCCTGTAAAATTTGCGTGAGACTGGAGCACCAGTGCTCCAAACTCCAGTATATTATACTGAACAATTATACTTGCTGGAACTCCCGCAAAATTTGCGGGAGTTCCAGCATAATTATGCTTGAACTCCCGTAAAATTTGCGGGAGTTCCAGCATAGTTATCCTGGAACTCCGGTAAAATTTACAGGAGTTCAAGCATACTTATGCTGGAACTCCCGTAAAATTTGCGGGCGTATTTTTCCGGATTTTGAACAGTGTTTTCGCTCAGATTTAAAGTGACGAAATTTCGATGACTTTTGAAACTTGACTATTTTTCAACGACCAATGGTAAATCTGGCTATTTTTGAATTTCTCCCCTAAATTTTCCTTCGATCTACACTCTTTGATAGGCCTCAAAGCCTTTCTTCAATATCGTGATCTTCTATTAAGACTGGGGTCTTTAAATAAATAAAATAATAAAAGCAAACTTTTTTCTTTTAGTATGAACATATTCAATCTCAAACTAACAAAATTCTTTCTTCTGAATTACTATATCATGAAGACCAGTAACATAAATGATCTTAATTTCCAATCAGATTACAAGGAGAATCTTGACAAAAGTTTGAGTGTCTGAGAAGTTCAATATTCTGCTGGGACCTACAATAGCCTGAGCTTGAAAGGGAGTCTGTGAGTAACATGGCTTTGCTTTTGTTGATTTGTCATCTTGGGCTTAAATGCGTGTTCATATTTGAGAGAACTCTTGTCTGAAAGGATCATACCATCATTCGTAAATGGATGGCAAATTCCTGACCCCATAAAAATTACATGTCCTCACCCCCAACCTTACTGAATTCTGTAGGTGGATAATAGTTCCCAAATTATCTTGTGGTATACTACTTGATAGAATTCCTTGCTGATTATTGTCTGACTTCGTATCAGCTGTCTATTTGAACAATATTTAGAAATGCTGTATGTTAATTTAAGAGACTGGACGATACCCTTGTTCTCCGACAGTTCAAGCAGAAGGTGTCTGTGAATGACAAGTTTGGAAGGCCAGCCATTACAGCTGTTGACAGTTCCAATAGTTGGTGGGCACTGTTAGAAGAATCTATCGTCAAAGCTAATGCTGGAGTTGGAAAACCAGAAATATTTCCTGCATCGACAGATGCACGCTATTTTCGGGAGCGAGGCCTGCCAGCAATAGGATTTTCTCCAATGGCAAACACTCCCATTCTTCTTCACGACCACAACGAGGTGAGCATTATTTACTATTGCATACATGGTGAGACCGCGGTAGTGTTGTCTGTGCTTAAACACACAGTTTTTCAAACCTATCAAACGATGAAAAGTGACACTTTATGAAATGACCGATTTAGTGTCGCGTCGTTACCTTATTATTTTCTCTCATCCAACCTTTTTTTATTATTAAATAATTATATTTTATCCTTTACCTTACTTACTTATATAATAATATTATCTCGTTCCTTACTTTTTTTTATATATATAAATAATATTGCAAGTTTATTCTTGGGTCTATTATTCAAGGGGATGGGGAGATTGATGAAGATGTCACACATCGTATTGGGGCGGGATGGATGAAATGGAGGCTCGCTTCCGGTGTTTTATTTGACAAAAAAAGTGCCACCAAAACTTAAAGGTAAGTTCTATAGAGTGGTGGTCAGGCCAACGATGTTGTATGGGGCTAAGTGTTGGCCAGTCAAAATCGCTCATGTCCAGAAGATGAAGGTAGTAGAGATGATGATGTTGAGATGGATGTGCAGGCACACCAGATTAGATAGAATCAGAAATGATTATTCGCGATAAGGTGGGTGTGGCATTGAGGACAAGATGCGTGAAACACAACTCAGGTGGTTTTGTCATGCGAGGAGGAGGGGCACAGACGCCCCGGTGAGGAGGTGTGAGAGGTTGGCATTGGAGGGCCTACAGAGAGGTAAGGGCAGGCCAAAGAAGAGGTGGGGAGAGGTGATTAGGCAAGACATAACGCATCTTCAGCTGACCGAGGACATGACCTTTGATAGGAATGTATGAAAGTCGAGTATTAGGGTAGTAGAGCACGCAGTCTAGAGTGTTCATAACAGTAGTATTAGCACATAGTCTCGCTTTCTGTTGATAATAGGTTTTTATGACTAATTGTTGTTTTCTTTCATTGTTGATCACCTTACTATCTTGTTGTTTTTATTCTATGGCTTTTTGGTACTGCCCCTTCTATTCTATATTTTTCATTAATGTGGTGTTCATGCTTTCCAGAGCCGAGGGTCTATTAGAAATAACCTTTCTATCCTCACAAAGTAGAGCTAAGGTTTGCGTACACAATACCCTCCTCACACCCTACGGTATGGGATAATATTGGGTATATTATTGTTGTTGTTGTATTGCAAGTTTATTGTTGATATAATTGGCGCATAAACAATACTACAATATATCCAAATATTATATATTATATCAAAAGTATACAATAGTACAATACAAGCAAGCTGTAAAGAAAAGAATACATATGACTTTGGCCTTTTGTTAACATACATATTCCATTTTTGATACTGTCCATTAGTTTGAAGTCAGAAGGAGTGGCGTCGGAGATGAGTTTTTGCAGCGGTAGGCGAGACAAGCACAACTCTTATCATTACTCTCTGTGTCTGTCGGTCTTGTTGTTGGTCACAGCGACGGCCACGGAAGATGCGTCGACAATCATATCAAGATTCCAACAGTACCTTCAGATCAATACAGCCCAACCTCAACCCAAGTACAATGAAGCCGCCGAGTTTATAACCTCACAGGCGAAGTCGCTAAATCTGGATTCCCAGACCCTGGAGCTGGTGAAGGGCAAGCCTTTGATTCTCCTGAAATGGGCAGGCAAGGACCCCAGCCTCCCTTCCGTTCTCCTCAACTCACATACCGACGTTGTCCCTTCCGAGCATAACAAGTGGGCCCACCCACCTTTCTCCGCCCACTTAGATCCCACTAGCGGCAACATCTACGCCCGGGGTTCTCAGGACATGAAGTGCGTGGGCTTGCAGTACCTGGAAGCCATTCGCAAGCTCAAGGCTTCTGGCTTCCAACCAACGCGCACTGTCTACCTCTCCTTCGTCCCCGACGAGGAAATCGGCGGAGTCGATGGTGCCGGAAAGTTTGTCGATTCCGATGTCTTCGTGAAGATGAATGTTGGGATTGTACTTGACGAGGGCTTGCCTTCGCCCACCGAAAACTATCGTGCATTCTATGGGGAGAGGTCCCCCTGGTGGCTGGTCGTTAAAGCTGTAGGTGCTCCGGGGCACGGGGCTAAGCTCTATGATAATACTGCCATGGAGAATCTACTTAAAAGCATCGAAACTATAAGGAGATTCAGGGCTGCGCAGTTCGATTTAGTTAAGGCGGGACTGAAAGCTGAAGGAGAGGTCATTTCTGTTAATATGGTCTTCTTGAAAGCTGGCACCCCTTCTCCCTCCGTAAGTCAGGCTAACTGTTTGATTCTGACCATTTTTTATGTTATACAAAATACTCGTACTTGAATATTGCGCTTCCCTTGGTGATACTTTTAGCAACGAGAACTTTGTGGCTCATTTTAGTTCTCCCTGTAGTATTCCTTGTCTGACGAATTCTTTGAGTCTTTGATTGAGCTTAATCATTCAATGCCATCAAGTTCTGTAGTAGTAACCTTACACACTATTTGATGGTTTTTACAAATTCTATAAAGTACTAATTTTTTCTGAGAAAAGAGCTTAGATGCTTTTCATAAAATAACAAAAGAGCTTAAATGTTACTGTAGTTTAGTGAATGGAGATAAATTTAACTATTGGAGTATATGAATTTGAACATTTCATTACGCAGTTCATCTTAATATGCTTTTTCTGCTGTTCCTGAGGTTCAATCTAACAAACATTTGGAGAGTGATTGACAGAAGATTTAGGGTGTTTTCCGCATAAATTCCTCTTTATTCGGCGGAACAACCCTTTCTTGTCAAACAGTGGCGCCCTTATTCATGCAGTTGAGATAAGTTTAAGACATGGACTTCTTTATTTCTGTGACAGGGTTTTGTCATGAACCTGCAGCCATCTGAAGCCCAAGCAGGATTTGACATCAGAGTACCACCAACTGCAGATCAAGCATCCTTGGAGAAGAGAATAGCTGAGGAATGGGCACCTGCTTCACGAAACATGACTTTTGAGGTATTAGGAATAATAGTCCTCACTTCTCCTTTTAGAGCTGCAATAGACAATCTGTAATGATGTGACAGCCTCCTGTTCGCTATACCTCCTTAGTCCTTTAACAAAGAGAGTGAGGCCTAGAACAATTTGCATTTTACTGTTTTCCTTATGTTGGGTGTGGTGCAGTGGTGGATAATCCAAAGAAAAGTGTTCCATGCCTTTCTTTTCTCCCAATCTGGCATGAAGTGTTAACATAGTGAGCCTAGTAACCAGCAGTCTATCTGAAGCTTTGATTAAGCCTGTCTTTCAAGCTACTGCATTCCAGTTAGTTTATGGAAGTAGAAAAGTCTAATCCAGGACTGCGAGAGTTTCTACATTTCTAGCTTGTTCTCATCCTTTCACTTTCTATGTCCTTTAATCAGCCATGTTTTCCCTCATATAAGGGAATATTCTGAAGTGAATAATATATAGGATTTGGCAGGCCCTACTGTTTTCAACAAACTTTAGTTGCTTCCATGTTCCGGAGAAGTTCTTGTAATAGAGACATAAGTAACGAATATCTGACTTTTATATCTTAGTATTTACTTCTCGATCCCATAGTTTGGGATTGAGATAGTGTTAGTGTTGTTGTTGTCTTCTTTGCTTCTCCAAGACTAAACCTGAATGATCCGCTCTGGGATCTGTCACTAGTTTTTAGCTATTATGTTTCTTCAATCTGCCTTCGCTACTTTACTGATGACAACTTTAGTAAAGCTTCTTGCAAAACGTCCAATTTCCGAGGAGGTTGTGTCCTTCAGTATGCTCATGCATATGCTGTATCTTTTAATTTTAATTTGTGCACGGACGCATTTCTACTTCAAGGCATGCTAGGCTTGAACTGGATGATGTGAAATGTTAGTTACATGTGGGTTTCCCATTTTAAAGGATGTCCTTGTAAGCATAGGCAGCCAGAGTTTTTGAAAGAGCATGAAAGTACTTTGAATACATCTGGATGCGCAACATATGATGGATGTGCTGAGGAAATTCATAAATGAAACCACTTTCCTTCCTGCATACTATTTGAGATTTCATTTCCTTTCACTGCCCTGTCTCTTCAACCCAGGAGGGTGTTAAGGAGGCAAAATTATGTGCCTCTTTATGCAAAAGTTTTAATCATTTTGTGAAGGAACTATCAATCCTTTTAGATTAAAAAAACATCGTAAATGGAAATTCTTTTAAATATTAACTCGTCTTGAGGTTGAAGATTGGGTGCTTCCTTTATTGTAGCTCCTGGAAGTTAAAATATTATGTTGTCATGTTCCTCGTATTAGTTGACTAATTCTTATTTTGTTAGACAACATGCTTTGTTAAAACGGAATGGTAAAAAGGATACATCATCTAATTTGTTTTCTTGTTTTCTTGGACTATGTTTTACAAGATCTTTTGAGATAAGAAACTTCACAACTTAAACTTTTTTAAAAGATAAATTAATGAGCTCAATGTTTCTAGAGAAGTTGGTCAAATAGACCCTCCAAAAAGAATGAGCGAAATAAAGTGGGATGGGTGGAAATAGTTATCTCATATCTGAGACTGAGTGTCTGAGAAGTTCAATATTCTGCTGGGACCTACAATAGCCTGAGCTTGAAGGGGAGTCTGTGAGTAACATGGCTTTGCTTTTGTTGATTTGTCATCTTGGGCTTAAATGCGTGTTCATATTTGAGAAAACTCTTGTCTGAAAGGATCATACCATCATTCGTAAATGGATGGCAAATTCCTGACCCCATAAAAATTACATGTCCTCACCCCCAACCTTACTGAATTCTGTAGGTGGATAATAGTTCCCAAATTATCTTGTGGTATACTACTTGATAGAATTCCTTGCTGATTATTGTCTGACTTCGTATCAGCTGTCTATTTGAACAATATTTAGAAATGCTGTATGTTAATTTAAGAGACTGGACGATACCCTTGTTCTCCGACAGTTCAAGCAGAAGGTGTCTGTGAATGACAAGTTTGGAAGGCCAGCCATTACAGCTGTTGACAGTTCCAATATTTGGTGGGCACTGTTAGAAGAATCTATCGTCAAAGCTAATGCTGGAGTTGGAAAACCAGAAATATTTCCTGCATCGACAGATGCACGCTATTTTCGTGAGCGAGGCCTGCCAGCAATAGGATTTTCTCCAATGGCAAACACTCCCATTCTTCTTCACGACCACAACGAGGTGAGCATTATTTACTATTGCATACATGGTGAGACCGCGGTAGTGTTGTCTGTGCTTAAACACACAGTTTTTCAAACCTATTAAACATATACTCTTAAGATGGGAAAGCCAAAAGAAATTGAGAACTCCACAATAAGGAAGAAGAAAACAATGTGATGGCTATGGTTACTCTTTACCAGTTATCAACTCTTTGGTGCATATATAAGCAACATTTTACACGACCCAAAAAATGATGTAAATTATGACCATAGCAGCTGAGGATTCACCAGTTTTCAATATTATGCCTGTGATATAGTGAATTTGACTGGACTTGAAAATTGTGTTCCCCTGTTTAAATAGTTTTGTTTTATCTGGTGGAGATCCCGACTTTGGCGTATAGTTAATATACATTCTCTATTGCTGCAGTTCTTGAACAAGGATGAGTATTTGAAAGGTATTGATGTTTATGAGTCAATAATCAAAACGTATGCATCTTATATTGAGCATCCAAGAGATGAGGCTTCAAGGGAAGAATTGTGAGCAAGTTCCATTGAAGAAACCTTGAGCTTCTTTTGTCTTGGAAGACAGGGACGTCTTTCTACTGTATGAATAAGTAACATGGATATTTCACAATCATTGACCAAGATGATCAATGTGTTAAAATTCGTTCATGTGTTACATATATTTTCCCTTATTTACTTTGAATATGGAGTTTCTCTGGCTATTGCATGTAGGAAATAGAATATTGCAGGCGATGATGAGAACAGACTGGGTCGGTGGACCTTCTTTCTTTTTCCAGTTCTAAACAAGATAAATTCATTGCTAGCTGGCTAACGAAATGTCAAAGCTAAGCCTGGCTTGTGCACCCAGTCCAATCTATGCAAATTCTTCAGAAGAGTCAATCTTCGGAAGAGAAACTACCTTTAGGCAGATGTACAACCTCAAGATATGAACTAGCTTAAATCGTATATCTAGACCGATATTTAATCAAGGGTATTCCGGCCTAACTTTAGTTTTTGCATTTTGGTTTACTTTGATCACTTTGCTGCTTGTTAGATTTAGATGGCTCTGTAATCTCTGAAGTTTCTTTTTACCTGAAATGCTTGAATATGAACTTGAAAAAAGAAAATTGACACAACACGATCTGGCAGTTTTCTTAAATTAGCTTTAGTCTATGTGTGTATGCAAGTCTTTTTTTCATAATTTTGGAACAATTAATTTTACTTGACATAAATCACCTCGAAAAATCATTATTTTTCCATAAAATGGTTCATCAACGTCCTAAAGCTCTCGCATTTTTTCCTATTATAGAAGAGTGGATGGATATTTATCAAGAAATTGTACGATAATAAACTAATCATGCTCATTTGTTGATATTATATGGTAGCCTGTTTTAAGTATCATGTATGAGGTAAATATCAAAAATGATATTTTAATTAATTGGCTGAGAATTGTGAAAAAAGGATTTTCTTACATTATCTATTTGATTTTCCCCATAATTTCTTTGATAATTTTGTTTCTCTGAGTTTGTATGTGATAATGCACGCTCATTGATTTTCATAAAAACTACGATTCAAATTAATGTGCATTATCATTATGTGAAAGCAATGACGAGATGACGTTGTGCTTAAAAGTATAAACTTTTCTTTCAAGATGTGCCATTTGTTTGTCAAACCTAAAATCAAAAGATATTATGACCCAGAAAAAAGAAAACAAAAGATAGAGCAAGATATCATTAGGATTTATATTTTAGCGAAGATTCTTTAGTTCTTCTAACTAACAACAAATAAGTCGTACTCCTTTCGACCTTTGCAACAAAATGTACTTCACATGCTCATATTGAAACCTTGTAGCATGAAAATAGATGCCTCCTGCAAGAATAGTTTTCAACTTATAAATATATGATGTCGATAGCATGCAAAGATTTTCTCCTAAATTAATGTTGGGAAATATTACAAAGAAAGAATTACAAGAAAATACACATAACTTCATACCATAACAAAAAATGGCCAATGTTTTTAAGCTTTACCCGACCTAGCCCACATTACATATTTTGAAAGCACTAGCAAATTCAAAATATATATTCTTACAACTATTGCTTCTAACATCTATGGAGTTAAATTTGTGTTCTCACAACCATTGTTTTCATTCTCTCTTCTTCTCACATCTTCTACATACGATTCAAGGGACCGTGTATTTTCTGCTTCTACTCTTGTGTCACTTGATTGCAATGTAAGAAAATTGAAGAGTAGAAGTCTACCATTGAAGACCATTCAAAGCTTTGCTTTCGAAAATGGGTATTTTTGAATTTGTTAGTTGTTTGGATTGAGTGTTATTCCAATTGATTGAAAATATCAAAAGGAGTTCAAAAATTAAATTTGAAATGATTTGGAGTAGATTTGAGCAAGATTTGAGTTAAATTTCAGAAAAGATGCTAGGAAGAAGACGAAGTCAGTTTTTTGTATAACTATGTATAATAGCGTATATGAGTGTAGAAACACACCTTATACACTATTATACACTTTTATACACCTTTATATAAGCGTCGTAGACGAACTTCTTCCACGATTTTCAATTGCAATTCTTGTTCAAAACCAGTCCAAATCTTCATTAAATGACTTCAAATTTTATATACAACCTCCTTATACTATATCAAATTCGAAATTTAAATCCACATATTTAAGCTTGTTAAAAATCTAATTTCACCACCCAAATGAATTTGGTTTGTTGAACTAATATTTGAGTTATAGTTACTGATTCAAAAATTAACTTAAAAGCTTGAGGAATCTTTTGTAAAAAATTAAATAATAATTTTGAGAACCTATTGGAGTTGGATGTTGAATTTTAGCCTTTTATTTTTGGGCTAGTTGGTTGTAAATTGAAATATGAGCTATAAAACTGAAAAGTAGGGAGCCCAGTTGTTCTAACGTGAAATTTTGAAAGAAAATCATATATAGCCACCCGCTGAAAACTTATAACAGTCGGTAGCCATAAAATTATACCCTACATATTATAGCCCTAAACTAATTATAACGGCTAGCAATTGAAATTATAAAACACAGCACTTCAAACAAAAACCATCGGGCCATATCATTGGCCCAACACCTGAAAAGAAACCCACTAGCGATGTTATTCCCAACGAATATCCTATGTATTTTTAATTCGTCTCCTTTAGTTTCTATTTCCTATGGTCTCACAAGCATTTCTGGTTCGCCATGTGTTAATTTTTTTCTTCTAATAAGTCGATAAAAAAAAACTCGAAGAAGAATTGTTGAAAAATTTTATTTGATAACTACCAAATTAAAGCACTGTCTATTTGTTGATCAGATTTAACTCCAGCAAAAATTAAATTATTTAATTTCATGGAACGATAGGAATATGTGCCATTAGAAAATAATTATAACAGGCCGACAAAATAGATTATTGCAAATGACTAAGTATTAGAAACTACTTACTCAGTGTATACTGACTAAGTATACTGTATTACAATAATTTTACACGATACACTTATGGAATTGTAGAAGTTTTATGATTGTTCTTTCTCAGGTAACTATGCATAACGTTGAAATGTATACAAAATAGACTTTTACTATACAATTTAAATACAATAGACGTCACTATACAAAAAATATACAAAATAGTCTGTCACTATACAAAATATATATTAAATAAACTGTCATTATACAAAATAGACTGTCACTATATAAAAAATATACAAAATAGACTATCATTATACAATTTATATACAATAGACCGTCACTATACAAAATAAATACAAAATAGACTGTCATTATACAAAAAATATACTAAATACACTGTTATTATATAAAATATGTACAAAATAGACTATCACTATATAAAAATATACTAAATAGACTGTCACTATACAATTTATATACAATAAACTGTCACTATACAAAATAGACTATCACTATACAAAATAGACTGTTACTATACAAAAAATATACAAAATAGACTGTCACTATGCAAAAAATATACAAAAATAGACTGTTATTATACAAAAATATACAAAACAGACATTTCGTATATGACCTGCATTACATATTTCATTCAATTCTTAGCTAATACTTACCAGATTCAGAAGTACAAAATACAATTTAAAAAACGGCAAAAAATAGGCTGA